ATCCACTGGTTGGTGAGCTAACCTGCGGTGAGTTATAGGTTAAACGATGCGAGTTAAAAATTTTATCTGCTGGCCAACCCATCTTTTTGGTGGGTTAGCGGGTTGGACCCGCAGGTCCAACTTATATTACCAGCTCTACAAATTATACTAACTCTAAGGCAATTGTGGTCAAATATGAATAATCTAAACCCGATTTAAATGGTTTATATTTAACATTTTTAATTTGTAAATAATAATTAAAAGATTATTTTTATTTCAAATTCTATATCTATTAAAAATAAAAACGAATTAAAAATATAAACACTAGGTAACATTAAATTAAATCTGACCTTTCCAGTTTTAATTTGGATGGTTAGAGTAGTGCTCATCAATTTAATTTCTTAGAGCATAAGTAGCATAATGCACTCCCCCCCCCCTTTTAACTGATTAGGTGTGTTGCTCGAACATGATAAATTAAATATCAATATGGCCAAGTTTAACCTCTTGGCTGATAAGCAGGCCGGAAATAGAAGTCTAACAAACATTTATTTATGAATTGACGAAGTTAACACTACAAGGAGAATGAAATAATATTTTTTAAAAAAAGTTTTTTTGGAGTTTAATTGCAAAAAATTTTTCATTTACAATATCTCTAGTAACTACAGCTGCACCCGTGAAACATGAGAAAAAGAAATAAAAAAAAAATACCTGTTAAATTTTAAAATAATAAATTAATGATTTTGATAAATTTTAATATGATTCTGCTCCGAAAACAAAAGCCTATGGTTCGCTCCCTAATATCATAAAAGGATGTTTGGAAGCATCCAAAAGTGTTCTTTAGAAGTACTTTTTCGTAAAACAAGACAAACTTTTTATATATTTATTTCATACACCGTAAAAACACTTTTAAAACTATAGTTTTGATTCTATCTAAACACTTTTGAGATCAGACAAGCGCAGACCTAATGGCGTGGTTCACTTAGCCTGACCCCAGCGCAGGCATCCCCCTCCATGCTTTGGCTCGTAGAGGGGAGTCGGGGACCAAGGGGATGCATCATTATTGCCTTAAAAGAAATATTAATTAAATATTTATAGTTTTTTTTTTAATTTACTAGATCCTCATAAGTTCCTTAATTATGGGCATGAGTTCCCAGACCTGTAAGCTGTTAGTTATGGTTGACCTGAATAGTAACAAAGTAACATATATCAGGCCAAAAAAAAAAAAAAGAGTACTCGCAACATAGAAGTTGTCACAAAATACAAAATAACAAAAGAATTTTATTTTAAAAAATAGTGGAATAAAATTTATTTATCACCAACATAATAAAAATTTATCATACTCACAATGGTCTATTTGCATTTATATATAGAATTTATAATTGGGCTGATTTTAATATTATCTCCGGTCTTAATTATAAAATTTTGTTTTTAAACTACAAATGAAATCTTATAATTACTATAGGAAAGAGTATCATTTAACTTATTTGGAAAAATTAATCTAGGGGTGTGCTAACTTCGTTTTCCTTTCAAATCAACAAATTATGAATTGATGATTAAGGAAACTATAAAAACTTAATAAAAAAAATTATAAGAATCTAATTAAAAATACGGCAAAACTGTAAGAATCTAAGAATTAATTTTCGTTTGTTTAAGTACATACCTATGTTCAAATATTTCATCTCTCACACACATATATCATACATGTTATGGTGCATTTTATTTTCGGCCACATTGATAGTTACAAGGGCTTGTTTGGATTTATAATAAGTTGAAATAAAATTTTTCTCACATTCTTATATTGTATCTTGTAAACTATGGTTGAAAAGTTAGTTATGAGTTATTTATAAGCTATTTTAAATAATCATTAATATTAGAGCAACTGTATCTTTTTTCAAGCACTAAATGCATAAATAAAACTTTGGGTTTGTACATAAAAAAGAACATTTCTAGACTGATTGAATGATTGTTTAATTATATATTGAGAGAAATTTTTTATAGTGTTGAAACAAAATAATCGTTTAATCTTTATAATTTTGATTTAATTAAAATTGAGTCCCTAACTTTTGATTTTGCGCAATTTAATTTCACTAAATTTAAATCATTTAAAATATTAATTCTCATATTTTAGAAAATATTATAAAAACTAAACTATTTCTTTGACATTATTAAAGATTTAATCATTTAGAATTGAAAAGATTGTATTGAGTTAAAAATTAGGAGAATTGGTACAAAATTTTAGATAAGAAGCATAATTATGAAAAAAAAAAAATCTCAATAACAACATAAAAGTTTATAATAATAAGTTCTAGAAAAAATTATAAATAAAGACCTCTAAATATGTAGAATTATGATTTGAGACTTTTAATGTGAAAAATAGCAAATAAGGACCCGATCTCAAATTGTAAATATGAAACCTTGGTAAAACGTCTGAAATGCTCCTCAGCCAAATAACAAGTTAACTATGAAAAATGACAAATTTACTTTAACAAATGACAATTTCAGTGGACCAAATCACAACTTGACTGAGGGTATGTCAAATAACAAATTGACTATGAAAAATGACAAGTTCACTTTAGTGAATAACAATTTCAGTAGACGAAATCACATTTTGTCTAAGGGTATTTCAGACATTTCACTAAGATTTTATATTTATAATTTGAGATCGGGTCCTTATTTACAATTTTCTCTAAGTTCTAAGTTGATAATTATTTTTTCAAAAAAAAATTTAAAGACTTAACTTATTTTAATCCAAAGTAGCAAAAATATTTGTCATTATTCGTGAGATATGTGTCAATTGTGGGGGACCCAGTTTGAACAGCAGCACGTGATAGGGTGATATATAGGCACTAGGTAGTCTGCCCTGCTTTCAGACAAGATAAGATCCTTGTCAAAATCTACGTCAAAATAACGCGGCGCAAACCAAAACGACATAATTCCAAGAAATAGACAAATTTTGCCGACCCTCAAGCGCCATTAGCTGCTCGCCACGCCACGACAAAAGTCGAAGAAGAGTTCATCTCTATATTCTAACAACCAATCCACCAGATACATGTTCACGAGCGCAATCGGCATTTGTAGGAATGAGCAACTAAACTAATCAAATTTGTTTTGTTCAGATTGAATTCTTTTATGGTTAAATTTCATTCAATTTCTACTGTAGACAATTAATATTAGTCCATTCACAAAAAATTCTAAAATTTATCAAAATTTCATGAGTTGAAAAGACAAAAATATTCTTATTTTATTTTTTTAAATTTTTTTATAAATCAACAAATTTGGGCTGCAAATCGTGGAGTGAGGGTTGTTAATCACCGAACTTGAATTGTCAGCCCTTACAAATTTTATTGCTAAATGAATAACTCAAATTTTGACGATTTACAATGAAAATTAAGCGATTTGCAACTAAAATTTGATGGTTTATAAAAAAAGTATAAAAAAATTCACAACCCCAAAATACTATTGTTTTGGTATAAGTGAACAATTCAAACACAACAAAAATTCAATGATTTGTAAGAAATATAAGAAAATTAACAACTCCAAAATAAAACAAGGGTATTTTTATCTTTTCAATCATAAAATTTTGGTCCTTGGGAGTGCAATGAAATTTTACAATTTTTTGAGAGTTGACTAATACTCCCTCCGTTCCTTATTATAAGAAACAAATAACGAAGTACGTTGATCAAAAAAACAGTTAAAATTAGTTAAGAACAATTAATGTGTAAAAAGTATAATTTTTTTCCAAAAATACCCTCATTAATAAGGAGAGAGTATGAGAGAGAACAATTAAATTATTAAAAGAAAGAGAAGTGGGAGGGAGAGGAGAGTGTGAGTTGGAGATAATAAATATGGGTAAATAGTAAATCAACACAAAAAAGTAGAGACAACTTGTAAGTGTCTCTTATATAGGAACATGCCATAAGCATCAAATGTCTCTTATAATAAGGAACGGAGGGAGTATTAATTATTATCTAGTGAGGGGTTAAATGAAATTTTTTGTTTTATTTTTTTAAAACAATTATCTTAGTGGATATAGAATCTAAAATAAAGATAATCTCTTAATTATTTTCTTAAAAAATAATTTTTTACTTAAAAATAATTTATTAAAAATATTAAATCTCTACTGTCCAGATCAGATCTAGATGGTCTAAAGTGCTTATTGAGTGCTGAGCACAATTCAAATTTGTGTTCTCTTCCTTACGGGATAAGATCCCTTACCATCCCAACCAACAATTTGTTAGTAAATTTAACCTTAATTTAACTATGGAGCAACAATAAACACATACTCCTCCCGATCCTATGTCCTAAATACATAAGAGTTAGTTAAAAAATTTACTTTAATTGTAAATATAAGATTTTAATTCATTTTGCCTTAAATTTGTAATTTTTTTATGAATTCTACTTATTGATTACACATATTAAAAAACTTTTCAATTAAAGGTAGAGTTTTCAATGAAAATGATTAAACTAGTATTATAAAAAAATAACATTTACAAATAATTAATTCATATTAATTTTATTTTATATTTATAAATTAATTAACTAGTTCATGTATTAAAAAGAAAAAAGTATATATAATATATATGTGTATCAAATGAAGTAACTTGAACTTTTGATTTTTGTAGGACATTCCTTAGATCTAAGATTAATGGAAGCATTTACTTAGATACTACTTTCGATCTTAAATATAATAGCTAATTGAATATTTAATTTGATTCTAAATATAAGACTTCAATCTGTTTTGTTTTCTATATTCATTCATTTTTTCAAAGTAATGCCTGTAATGATTGCGCATATTCAAAGTTTTCATTATATTACATATGACTAATAAAGATATTTTGATAAAGATAATACTTATTTATTATAAATAATTAATTTAACTAATTTTTTAAATATTCCAAATTAGTTATACTTAGTATTACGTAAGCTCAAACGAGACACAAGCAGCCATAAATATCACATGTATTCTTTGACCCAAACCCATGCCTATCGGTAAACTTCCCAAAAGAAGGTATCGAAAAAACATGAGCTCCTTCTTATTCCATTATTTCCTTCTTTCTCTTGCTTTCTTCTTCACTCCCAAGCTCTTCCTTCAAAATAAGAAGCTCAAAAACATCCCACCTGGTCCACCTTCTGTTCCCTTTATCGCCAACCTCCACCAACTGAAAAAGCCACTTCATCGTGCCCCTCACCGGATTTCTCAACGTTATGGCCAAATCATTTCTCTTTGGTTTGGCTCTCGTCTTTTCGTCGTTGTCTCGTCGCCGTCCGCAGTCCAAGAATGCTTCAACAAAAACGACATCGTCCTGGCAAATCGGCCCCGCTTTCTTACCGGACAGTATGTTTCTTACAACTGCACCATCATAGACTTCGCTCCATATGGCGACCACTGGCGCAACCTCCGTCGCATTACGGTAGTCGAGATGCTCTCGAGCCACCGTCTAAACGCATTCTTGGAAATGCGAAGAGACGAGGTGAAGCGCCTGGTGCAAAAGCTTGCTCGAGACTCACATAAAGAGTTCACCAAAGTGGAGATGAAATCAAGATTCTCCGAGATAAGCTTCAACGCTCTCATGAAAATGATTTTGGGGAAAAGGTATTGGACAGACGACAATGAGGCTGGGGATGTGGAAGAGGGAAGAAAATTTCGAGGGATTATGCATGAGTTTGTGCCAATAGCAGGGGCAAATAACGCTGCAGACTACTTGCCCATATTGAGGTGGTTTGATTATGATCACTTGGAAAGCAGGCTCAAGAGTATGGCCAAGGGAATAGACGGGTCCCTGCAAGGGCTCATTGATGAGCATCGAAATCAAAGCACAAAGCAAACTCTATGATCGATCATCTTCTGAGTCTCCAAGAATCACAACCTGAGTACTATAGAGATCAGATTATTGAGGGCCTCATATGGGTAAGAAATATTCATTCAATGCTTAAGGTAAGATTTACTTAACTGATTTGAGTAGATTAAGAAAGCTAAATGAACTACTTAATTCTAACAAATGTGATATCTTTTAGTTTCTTTTCTTTGAGATGTGCTTGAAACCTGGAAGAATTCGAGAATGCTGCAATAACTTCTTAACAGAACAGTGAAAATGAAAAAAAAAAATTATAGGATCTAAATGCTGTTCAAATATTATTTTGCTTATGATAGGATTAAATACATGAAGAAAAGGAATTATTTCAAGATTTGATTGGATTTTGGAAGTGTAGATCCATTTCGAAGCGTTTTTTTTCCCCAAGCAAAGGACAATTGCTAAGCTACAAATCTTTATATCAGCCGCAAAAGTCATCGTATAATTAATAAAATGTAGTAACTGTAAAATCCTGATTGTGTGAGCATTCACTAGATTAAGTCTAATTTTTTATGTTGTTTTTTAATTTTTTCCTGTAGGTTATGCTTCTGGCTGGAACGGATACATCAACTGTGACTTTAGAATGGACAATGTCTTCTCTATTAAACAATCCTGAGTGACAAAACTCAATTACTATATGAACTTATCACTATATTATCTATATTAAAAAAGGGAGGGGTTTTAAGCTCAAGCTTTTCCTGTTATTTTAAACTATTACAACTTAGGTAGCAAAAGGATTTTTTATATTATCAAATGGCTTTTACAAATTCTTAGAGTTTAAGTAAAGGAAAATGGCAATGACATTAATTCGGTATTACGAGACTAAGGACAGATCATATTACAAAGTTTAATAAATAGGAGTAGATTATACTTTTGGGAGCACAATACGCGCATGAATAATATCCCATAATGGTTATAACAATATTTTTACGGCTTTTTATATTAATTAAACTAATTTCTTGTGTTAGGATGCTTAATTAGGATGTTACTGTAGGATGTTATATAAACTTGTTATCACTGTTTTCAGTCTTAAAATTGTGGATTATTTAGATGGAAAGTGACATATGATTTGGTTATGTTAAATGGCTGTCACTGTTGTTAGACTGCTGTCTATTTTGATTTTGCACGTGTTTTTTACAACTGCAAGTTACATAAAAATTGCCAATATAAAAAATTCACAATTTATTTTAAATATATATATTTTTGTCTATCCCAGCTAGAACGGACGAAAATATAGTACCCTATTTTGGTCTGTTCTTGGCTTCCGGCTAAAACAAACAAAAATAGACACCTTATATTTGTCCTAGAAAAGATGAAAATAGATGCACTATATTCATTTATTCTTCCTAGCAAACAATATTTTCGTTTGTTAAGAACTTTAGCCCAATTATTAACTATGCATATTTTCCCATCATAAGCACTTCCAAGTATGCATTAATTCACCAAAAAATTATAACAACTAAAGAAAAATGTGTTGAAATAATATGAATTTTGTAAGCTTAACAACAAGCTATCATATAACTTTTGGGAAAGTCCAACTTATAGTAAAGGTTCTGCAGAAAATTTTATAAATGCTTAATAATTTGATGGTAAGAAATATGCTTTTATATATATATATATATAAATATTTGCCAACAATATGTTTATATGTATGAATTATAAATGGTATATACATGCTTAAAGTTATTATAATATAATAGTCATGATATTATAAATGGTAGTATAACTATCAAGTTAAATGAATTCATTTATCGATGTCAGTTCCCTAACACCGTAATATCTATTTTTTCTCCTACTCCAATTTCTACTATATCTCTTATGCAGTAGCAGAAATGCATTTTTAATTGATGACGAATATAATATTTTGTACTAGTGCTGGTCTACCTTAAATTTTTAGGACGTGACACTATCCGTCCATGGAACTCTACCTATAGCTTCGTCTTTCACCACCAATGAATGGGATTTTGGCCATACATAGCATGGTCTGTAGCTTCACCGAAGAACAAACCCTCCAAAGCCATCGCAGCTACCGAAACAAGAGATGGAAGATGAGAACGGACCGGAAGTGACAATGGTTAATGGAGAATGAAATGGAGGTGGTGGTCGGAGAGAAGAAATCAGAGGTGAGAAGCGGTGAGAGAGCCAATGGAGATTGATGTTGTGATTACTGACTAATAGTAAAACTGATAGTTAATAGGCATTCCATGCTCTTTCAAACGGTGTTTTGATGCTCTAGGTAGCTTCAAGTGGAATCCTAGATTAACTCATTCACCTGTGGGATATGTCTCCTACACAGCTTTTGAAGGGATGTGCTCTCTTGATTGGGTTACAAAACCCCCATCCCTTGTTAACCCTTTCCAGGTGGCTCGGAGTTGCTTGGATTGTCCTCTTTCTTTTGCTTTTTCTGTGCTACCCTTGTTCATGGTTTTGTATTTCGACTTGGTTCTGTCTGCTCATATCTTGGGCTGCATTAATTTTTGTTTTGCTTTCTTTCTTGAATTCTATGTACTTCCACACTTGAGTTTTAATACCATATTACTGTGGTTTGTGCAGGGAAAAAAAGAAAGAAAACAGAACTAGAAGGAAATTATTCTTGTACATGTAGATATTCCCATCGCTTATTGCAATAGATGGTAATAAATACTAAAAATGAACCATTTATATAGCATGAAACTCCTACTATTCCAAGCCTTTGGATACATAATTCCTCAACTTGGTTATCCTGGATAACCTTTTAAGAAAGAAGCATGTTAATGATTGGATGGCGTGCTCTACACATGGCCTCTAAAGGAATAACTTTCGGCATGGTGGCTCCTGCTCCTTCTGTCATGTCAATTTCTTCCTCACTTACCCGTTTCCATTCAAAGCATTGAATCAACAATCCCAAAGTCAAGCCCACTGTTCGTTGGGCTAAACTTTCTCCAGGACAAGCTCGTCTTCCCAACCCAAATGTAATTAGCTTGTTTGCTTCTCCTTCTTTCTCAAACCTCTCTGGCTTAAAACTCGTTGGATCACTCCATAACTGGGGATCTCTATGGTTAGCCCAAGCATTGATTAACACAATAGTTCCGCGAGGAACATTATATCCTGAAATGGTACAATCATTCGAAGCCTCATGTGCAAGCAACAATGGTAGGGCAGGATGCAATCGAAGTGTTTCAGAGACAATGTTTTGCAAGTATGGCAGTTTTGAGATTTCTGGCTCATCTATTAATCGTTCTTGCCCTATATGTGTGTCTATTTCTTTCTTTGCTTTTTCCAACACATGAGGATTGTTTAATAAACTTGACATTGCCCATTCTAAAGTCACAGATGAAGTATCCGTTCCAGCAAAAACCATGACCTATAAGTCAAAATTAACAAAGTAATCAAAATCAGGGAATACAAATTTTGTAATCAACTTTTAGAGTAAATTGAGTAAGTGGTCACATTACGATTTTAATGTATATAGTATATTTTGCGCTATGCTGCAATAAAAGGAGAAGGCAAATTCTTAATTAAAAGCTAAGTGATCTAAAGTACATGTTCTGCTTGACCATAAAAAAGAAAAAAGAAAGTACATGTTCTGCGATATCAATATCAAATTGTGCGGTGATTTCTATCTGGGTTTTTTTTGTGTGTGTACAAAGACATAATGTTGTAGAGTTTTGCACTGCTCATAATGTACAGTTATGCAATTCTCTTTTTATCATGGGGTCCATCTGTATTTCCAAAATCGAATTAAATACTCTCCCACACCCACTGTCTATCTCGATAGATATTTCCCTTTTCCTATTTACTTAATCCTTTCACAATATATGTATTGGCCAAAAAAATCCTTTCACGAGATATATTAATTAAAAATGTACGAATAACCTGTTTAATCTTTGAAACTTAATAACAAATCACCCTAAACTATCAGGTCTATGCAAATAACTTCAAACTAATAAAAGAAAACTCTATTCTTGTCCTATTTATAAATATTTACTTCCAACATGTTTCATATGGACTAAAGAAAACTCCAAACATTTTTAACTCATTTAAAATTCAACAACTTTTCAACTCTGTTTCTATTTAATATATATTATACCTTATATAAATAAAGTCAATACAATAATAAATAAAAGATAAAATTATACATCTGTATAAAAAAATTTCTTAGTGCCCTATAAAGAGGACCAAAAAATATCTTCTTTCTTTGCCCATTAAATAGGACTAAATGAGTGTTTTTTTAATGCATATATAACCTCTCAAACTTGGAATTATATGCATACAAACCCATAAATTTTAGTTCATTTGCAAATAAATAACAAATAAAGTTAATGGTATGGAAATTATATGCATGAATGTAAAATTTCAGGGAGATTCATTATAAGGTGTTAAAGGTTATGGAGGTTATTAATATGACATAAACTTTTAAGTTATCAACTTCAACATAGGTTGCATGCAAGCACATCTTAATAAAATGTAATCAAAAGATATCTAACTGCATGCAATAAAAAAGGTAAAAGCATTCTTTACTTTCACTTACCAATATGAGGCCTTTAATAATCTGATCCGTATAGTACTCAGGCTGTGATTCTTGGAGACTCAAGAGATGATCGATCATAGTATTTGCTCTCTGCTTTGCGCGTCGATGCTCATCAATGAGTCCTTGAGAGAACCCATCGGCTCTCTTGGCCAAACCCTTGAGCTTCTTCTCCAAGTGACCAAAATCAAACCACCAAAGTATGGGCAAGAAATCTGCGCTGTTATTTGCCCCTCCTAGCGACACCAATTCCTTTATAATCTCTCGAATCTTTCTGGCCTCTTCCACATCCCCAACCTCGTTGTCGTCTCCCCAATACCTTTTGCCGGAAATCATTCTCATTATAATGTTGAAAGTCAACTCTGAAAATCTTGATTTCATCTCCACTTTGAGGAACTGATCCTTGTGTACTGATTCTTGAGCAAGCTTTTGAACCAGCCGCTTCACCTCCTCTCTTCGCATTTCCAAGAATTTG